TTTTTAAAATACTATTCTTTGCATATCCTATATCAAATTTTCAATTCTCTTTTTTACAGGGTATTTAGTAGTGGACTTCCTGCCCAGAGCAAGCGCTTTGTTGTTTGGGCATTTCTTTAGCCAGATACAGTAGAGATTAATCATCAGTTGGTTAGTCTTTGAGTCATTCGTTTCCCTAGTTGCCCTGTATTAATTTATTTTATTTTTATTTCTTTCTCTTTTGACTTTTCCGTTTTGCACATTTGGCCGAAATAGTAAGAACGCATGCACTTTGTACCTGCCTTCCAATCCCCTCTCCGCCTATTTCTCAAGCGTTCACACACACGCACTATCTATCGAAATATTAAATTATTTATGCACATGGCTTATAGTCACGCCCCCTTGTCAGCCCACACGCATTTAAAGACAATTGCTGCAGCAGCGACTGCGACAGCGCTGCCAGCGTCGCTGTCAAAGTTACTCATATGAAAAATATCTAATAAGAAAACCAATAAACTGCATGAAGAGCAAACTCAGCTGACGGCTGCGTAGTCGACTACGACGCAGGCACCGAAACGCAGCGCAACGGGTTATATGTGCATATGTATGTGTGTGGGGGCGAATGCGAAGTGGAAGTAAAAGAGAAATACATCCAAACGGACATACATACATATGTACATACATATATACGTAAGTGTGCGTGTAAACTTACATTTGTTGTTGCTTCCAGGCAATTTAGCGTACTTTGTTGTCGTGGGTGCTGTTGAAGATGTTGTTGTTGTTGTGTATTTTGTAGCTGTTGTATCAGTTGCTGCTGCTGCGCGGCAAGAGCACCACAATCCATATTACGACGTCCCAAGCAGGAGGCAGGAGCAGCAATTGGTGTATAACAAATCCAATAACAAAGGAACTGCAGCTGTAGCTAAAATGGACGTGATCCGATTTAACGGCGCTTGTCCGCTCTCCTCTTATTTTTTCCTTAGCGTACTCTTTACAAGTCTCACACTCTCTCTCTTTACCTTGATACGTATATATGTATATCGCGCGCGCGCCCGCTTTTGATCAGTTTGGCATAAATTTGCGACTGCGTTTTGAATTACAATGCGATGTGGGATTGCAATTGGAATTGGAATAGGAAACCCGTTGCACTTATTTCAATTTCTGTTAAATTTGCATTTCTCTTGTGTTCCTTGCATTTGTCGTGTTTCGTGATTCGTGCATCGTACTTTGTGCATGCCCATGCATTCTTAAACCGCTTCCTTTGCCTGTCGTTGTTGCCGCTATTGCTGCTGCTGCGTAGGCGATGCTGTTACTCCAACAACACGATTAAACGAGCATGCGAACACAACGTACGAACAAATGAACCAGCCAGCGAGCGAGCAACAACGAAAGACAAACGACGACTGCCGAACGAGCACGAAGTTAGTACGCTGGAGCTGGGCTGCTGCTGCTGCGGCTGCTACACCCACACACATGCATGCAAATGTCTCTTTGTATGTTGCTTTTATTTGTATATTTATGTATGTACGTGTGCATGTATATTATTGCTTGTGTTTGTGCGTGCGTTTGTGTGTGTGTGTACTCCACTACAACTGCAACTAAAGTGCCGTTCCGTTTGCTGCTGGTCGCTTTTACTTCATTTTTCCTGTCGTTTTGTTATTCCTCGCCTCCAACTGTTTCCTTTATGTGCTGCTGCTGCTGCTGCTTTTTCTTGTTGCGTTTTTGGGTGTAGTCAGTCAGTCAGCCTTGTTGATGTTGTTGTTGTTGTGGTTGTTGCTATTGCCGCTGCTTCGGCTGCTGCTGCTGCGCTGATTGCATTTGATATCCATCTTAAAAACTATCATTTTGAATTGCATTTATATTTGTACACAAATTACACTTAATCTATTTGCATATGCATGTGTGCATCATTTATGTTAGAACCGAAAAAAATAAACAAATAGTACTATTGAGCTACGTAAAAAACACCCGTGCGTAATTTCCACGAACTTCTGTTTGTCGTGCGTTTTTCAGTTAACTGGGGATGTTGATATCGCAGCGATACCTATCGATATGGCAGACACTTTGAGATAATTTTATATCACGAAGATATCGTATCTGCTATCAAAATAGATATCGTAAGCTAATCGTTTTTTCAATATAGTAAATAAGATACTTTTGAAAATTCTATCCATTTGTGTATAGGAAATTAAAAACTTGCAAACGCCACGAGCTCACAGAATAAGTCAAGCTTGAATTGGTCTAATAAGATAAAGTCATGTATCGATAGCAACTACTATATCGTTAAAAACACTACGTTAGCTTTTATAAATTGATCAAAAGTAACCGTCAAATATTATTCCCGTATAAATTTTTTATAAATGTTATATGCAAATATAAAATACCTATAAAGCAGTAATAAATATAGATGTTAATGTTATGATATAGCCGATACGCTGAGCCTTGTTTAAATCATACATAAATGATTAAGTACAAATTTAATTCAGGTTTTACATGCCAATTATTTTTTTTTTTTTTTTTCTATCAACAAAATATTTCTGATGAATTACGTTGGCCCAGCAATCAGAATAAATTGATAAAATTGTAACTGCAATCGCTGCATCCCTAGCTTGGCAGTTACTTGGCACCACTGTTTGTCGTCAAAATTAAAGCAGTTTTACTATTGGAGC